CAGCAGTGTGTCCCTGTGACTTTCACAGTCTCAAACAGCACCAAAACAGCCACAATCCTTATCCTTCAATGTATAAACACCCCAAAGTCCTCTCAGCTAAGTATTTCTGCATAATGTCCCCTGGAGTCTGCCCTCACAGGCTACATACAACGGCGGTGGCAGAGGTGCTTGGTGTTGAGCTCCTGGCCACGATCCCGGGGAAGCAGCAATTGGGACACAGCTCGCTCCTCCGCAGCACTGCCCGGGCTCACTCTCCCTTCCCGGCACCCCTCGGAGCTGTGGGATTATTGGGACGTCGCTGCCCCTCCCTCCCACTCCAAAAACTTGGTATATTGTCCTATGCATTTATTGCAATGCATTGTGTGGACATAACTATGGAGATGCCAAAGGGTTTTACCAGAAAATGAGAGCTCCAGTGGTTTTTCCTCACAACGCAGTATTACTGATGTCATGAGGGCTTCAGCTGTGCCTGTGCTGTTTTGTAGGGTTGGATGGATTAACACGGTTATAAAATCAGCCTTGGAATAATTTAGCCAGGGTTTATGCCTCCATTTAGCAAAGTATGTTTGTAACATTTAAAATCTTTTTTTCTATCAAGCCTGATCTACACACACAAATAAAATAAAATAAAATAAAATAAAATAAAATAAAATAAAATAAAATAAAATAAAATAAAATAAAATAAAATAAAATAAAATAAAATAAAGCAAAACAAGGGACTGGCACACCTGCATGTTAACTGCTTATAAAGACATAATAAATCCCATAGGGCGGTGGAGTTGCTGAGATTTTTAAAAATACCTTTACAGATAGTGCTGTAAGTGCACCCCCACCAGTACTGTGAAAACACAACTGCATCAGTATAAGCTCCGCTCTTAAGTCAAAAATCTACATGCATTTCAGGCTTGAATTTTAGCGAGCCAGCTAATATTATAGAACATAATTGACATTGTTTTTTTTCTCTCTCTCTTAAAGTATGACTTTATGAAGGCTTAAATATCACTACAGGCCAATAAAATTGAAGTTGTTCTCTGTTTAGTTGTTCTATATTATCTGAGAATTCTGACCTCAGAAAAATTGCTTTGCTCTCATGGCTAGTCAGCCCTGTATGACTACGCCCACGCCGCACACCGCACGTGCGGTGAAACGGGGCCGTACCTTTCACGGGCCGCTCGGTAACCGGGAGGGCTAACGCAGGCCC